CAAAGGTTGTGTGTGTTCCCCAGAGAGGGAACAGACAGATTCAGAGAGAGGGAAAGTGAGAAATCACCTCCCAGGATGATGGCCATGTTGCAATCCCTTCTCTCTTCCCTTCACTTCTCAGAATTTTGGACATACACACACATGTCCAGTGTGATTTTCAAGCCACTGGGCTAAAGACTCAAACTGTGGTCAGCCATGTGGTAGTCCAACACCTTAACTACTATGCCACCTGCTGGCTCGAATTTACTGAAATTTTATGTTGTGGAAAATTGTTTGAAATGAAGTAAAAATTCTTCTATGTTTTCTCTATCCTTATTCTGCAAAAAATATTTTGAGGCCCACCTTTTAGGGTGCAATTGGCAGCATACGAGACTACAGTGCTGGAAGCCACATAGTTGACTGAGGTTTGGATCCCTGGCCTAGATGACCTGAAACCCCCCAGGTTAATGTACAGATGCCCAATATTCTGACCAGCTGAAAGGCTGGGGGAAGGGGATGATGGTGTGACCTACACTGTTGGGTAGGTACCCCTCTCTCATGAGAGTGCACACACTATCAGAAATTTATACACATTTTTAAAATAATTTTAAACACATAAGAAGTTGCAAAATAGTTCAGAGTTCCCATGTACACTTCTCTCAACATTTTCAATAACATCTTATAAAACTATAATAATTATCAAATCTAGGAAACTGACTTTGGTATAACCCACATATATTATTTATTGTTGGCCTTTATTCCTTCTAAGTGATGACTTCAGTTCTAGCTTAATTAATCTAACTATGAATTATATAAATATAATTTATTATTAAATAAAATAGAATTATTATAATTTTGTAAATTCCTTGTCCCTTTTCTTTCTGTACTCGTAAATGAACTTTTATATGCATATAAATCTTATCTCCACAATTATTAGGCTGTCAGAAAAGTCATGATGTATTTTTTTCTGTGCAAAAATGTGTCATGACTTTCCTGACAACCTAATAGACTATTAGTTCTTTGGGCACAAGAAACATGCTGTGTGCAATCTTTCACAGCAAATAACATCTTGTTCAACATCAGAATGAGCTTTATTTCTCTAATATGTCATGAAAACATTGCAGTGTTTGATGATTGTCTCATCAATTTGCTAAGAACAATAACTAGTGAAGCTAGTGTCATGCTGGTTGTTTCTGGCTTTGGTCAAGTGTAATTCAATGGGGAAGCCTTTGATACAAGATGCAACTTGTTGGGAAGAGCACTGGGTGAATTTGACTTGGCCACAAGTAATGAACATTCTCTATAGTATACTGTTAGCTGCCTGCCGGCTAAATTGCTCCCACCAGGTAGCAACATTTCTAAGAACCTCATCTTCTATCCCAGGTAGCCCACTTCAGTATCTCAGGACTAATTCCCTTACAGAATAGTTATGTGCCTGCCTCTAAATTTGGGTGCATAAAAGGCAGTTTTTTACTGTGCTTAGTACCCAATGGGAACTCTCTAGAAGGGCAATAAATAGGCTAAGTTGACTCTGGGATAGCTAATTGATCCATGGACTTGTTTCCCAGAGTGAGCAGGAGTTTAGAGAAGACTCTGAAAGAAGGCAGAGTCAAAGCTATTCTCTTCTCCACGTGCATGAGAGGCACATTACATAAGAGAGAGATTCATCACATGTCAATACCACGTGGCAAAATTGAGGGTGGCAATGTGGTGAAAGCGCTGAGACAGAGTCAGGAAAGAAACTTAGGCTGTCTTCCAGCTTCACCATTAATGAATGATATATATGAATTTAGGACTCATACAAGCTCTGTGGGTGAGGTCTATAAAAATATAGGTGGGCAGAGGTGGTGTGTATTAAAATCAAAATGATTCTTTCTTTCTTTCTTTCTTTCTTTCTTTCTTTCTTTCTTTCTTTCTTTCTTTCTTTCTTTCTTTCTTTCTTTCTTTCTTTCTATTTTGAGAGGTTTTTGCTATAGGGCTCATGCGCTCGCCAGAAAGACAGAGAGACAGAAAGCGAGAAATCACCCCCCAGGGGGGATGGTCATGCCACAATCCCTTCTCCTCCATTCTCCTCTCAGGATCTTGGGCACACATACACACATGCCCAGTGTGAGTTTAAGCCACCAGGTCCAGGAATCGAACTGCAGTCGACTACATGGGAGTCCAGTGACATAGCCATTACACCAACTGCTGGCCCCAACATGGTGTTTCTTAAAATGGGTATGAATATTGCCTACATCAGGAACTACATAGTGTATTAAAATGCTGATTCCTGAGCACTACCCCTTACCTACTTAATCAGAATCTGCAGAGGTAAAAGCTAGGAATCTTCATTTTAAGCAGGTGATTTTTATGTACATTAAAGTGTAGAAACAACTAGATTAGCTCACATACAAGGCTTCTAGGGCTGAAATGCCTTCGTTCTAATAAACTAAGCACTTTGCTAAATGCAATAAATACGCTAGGTGCACAATTTGATCTTTGTGCTAGTGGTCATTAGTTTGATCCACACATTTTGTCTTTTCAAATAACATGTGTTGGATTTTAGGGAGCATAGAAATATTGGAAGTCCACTCAAACAGTGTCCTCTGGGATAGTGTCTTTATGAATCTTCCTTGGTCTAAGGTTCTTTTCCCCTAATTATTGTACAACCAGAAATTCAATCCAATGTAGTTTTTGGCTTAGAATTTAAATTCTGGAAAAAACGGATGAAAGTATAGCTTGTGAAAAGGATGTTTTTCTAGGGACCAGATTTCTTATGTTCCCAAAATAAATTCTTTGCCAGAAAAATCAGGTTGTCCAATGATTACCTCTGTCCTGAAACTTGTGTCCTTGAGCACACTTCCTTGTGTCATAGGCCTTGTCTTTTGATGAGTTAGGTGCCACCCATTGGATAACAATTGAGTTACTTTTCCTGCTTTGGGTCAGAAAACTAGGTCTTGTCTATCTGTTGCCAAAACACCGAGATTTTATTAACTAAACTATCAAAGTTTTTGGGTTCTCTTGTCATAGCCCCAGAAGTCTCCCATAATAGTACTCATAACATTCTCAGAATAAATCCTTGTAAAGTTTGAGACTATAAATGCCAATGGACATTTATTTAAATAGCTTTTAATTTTGAAATATTTTTTATTTGTTTGTTTAGTTTGCTGTAAGGCACATGGGCTTGCTGAGACACAGAGAAAATGAATGAGAGAGAGAGAGAGAGAGAGAGAGAGAGAGAGCTTCTCCCCCCTCCCCCAGGAAGGACAGATACACTGCAATCCCTTTTTTTTCCATTTCTTCTTTCAGGATTTTGGGCACACACACACAGTTGCCCAGTGTTTTTCAAGTCGTCAGGTATGATCTAGTCACCTTAACCTCTGTGCCACCTGCTGGTTCTATTTCAAAATATTTTAATAGAAGAATTTGTATAGTACAGACATTCTTTGCCTGCCTCATTGAATGATATTATCTTGTATAAGCACAGTATATTGTCAAAATCAAGAAATTGATGTTGACGCAATACTATCAACTCAGCTGCAGATGCTATTTAATCTATGATTTCCACTAATGAGGAGTTAGTTACCAATGTCCTCTTTGAAGTTTTAATATACTCTACAGCATTTTCCTATTACAATTATAGGCAAAAGATTGAGTAATATATTGTATTGGGGAGGAGTTTTGAAGCCAAAGATATAAGAGTTTAACTCCAGACTCGACCAATTACTGGTTGGGTGATCTTGGTCAAGTTTCTTAATTTATCTGAACTTTAGTGTTTTTTGTTTGTTTTTGTTTTTACTCTTTAATAAGGGGACAGTGAGGTTTGTTTTTAAAGGGTTGATGTGAGGATTAAATGAGAAGAATCAAATGATAAATATTAAATAGAACCAAATGTCTGATATGAGTAGGACTTCAATAAATGGCCGTTTTTATTTTTAAAACTAGAAAATACTACTCAGTTTTCTGTGTCTTAATTCCTCATGTACATCTGGTCTTCATAAGTAAAGCACAGAAAAGGAATCAATAGAAGGGCTTTACATTTTTGTTTTGTTTTGTTCTTAGGTACACAAATTTCTAGTTATTTTACTAAATCTCCAAGAAAATGGAAATCATGGAATTTCAGAGAAATTAGGAAGAATGCAATTACACAGACAATAAGTGGCAAGCCAGGACCTGAACTCTCTAACTTTTACTGATTACATATAGCACTCTACTATGGGCAGGGCTTTGCCTCAACTTTTCTAGGTATTATTAAAGTGCATGGCAGCTGCAAACTGCAAGCCAGTGTGGGAAGTTTGCGCAACGAGAAGGATGGGTGGCAGAGTGAAATCAAAGGTCTTTCTCAGCACTTACCTAAGGTTAAACTTTTATTCTATCTGCAGGGATTTCAAATTTTTATCCTCTACACGATTAGAACAAAAATCTTCCAGAGTGAAGCTTCCAAAGTTTTGAAGTCTCTGTCGTCCTCTGCTGGGAGAGTGAAGTCCTTACCTTCTGTGACAGGGCTGAGGCTGCGAGTAAGAATGTATAATATGCTCAGGACGTTTCCGGCCCTAAGTGAACGCTTCAGGCTACTGGAACCATCTGTAACAACTGAAGAAACGCTAATATTTGAAAGTGACCAAGCAAACTCTAGCACCTAGGAAACGAAACGGTCACCTTCTGTGACCTTCTTGTGAGTTTTACGTGTTTCCTTTCTTGGTTTCCCAGTCCTCTCAGATCATCTTGCTCAATATATTGTTAAGGGTTCAGAATGAGGAGGGGGTCAGCCCAGCCCAGCTATGGGAGCGCCACCTCTTGGGATGCTGCAAGTTACCTGACCATGTGGGGCCTGTAATCCTAATTACTTGGGAGTCTGATGCAGGAGGATTGCCACACAGTGAGCCACCCTCAGAACCGCTTATCTCAGAATTAGGTTAAACCTGCTGTTTATTATCATTGGGGATAATGGATTTGGTAGGCTTATAATACTCAATAGACTCTTAGTTGCATGAGGTGAGGAATTCTATACCGTATTCTAGACTCCCATTACTCCTCAGGTCAGCCAATCTGTAAGACTGAGGTACACTTTTACCAAAATGTAGAGTTTATCACAAATTCTTTAATAATTTTCTAAAAAGGGAAGGAGAAAACTTACCTTCCAGAACAAAACATCTCCTGATGAACAATGCCAGGAGTTGCTTTTATGTACCATACTTTGGATCTCTCAATATTTAACGTTGTTTCTATGTGTATGTACTTTCATTTCCAATAAAGACTTTGGCACCAATTTAACCTCTGGAAAGGGATTTTGTTTGTTTGTTTATTTATGAAAAAAAAAACAAGTTTTGCAGTCTGAGGAACTGGTATGTAAGAAAAAGACAGTGAGGTTATATTAGCTGGTTATTAAAGCATCTGGGTAATTTCTTCTAGTTCTTAATGTAGCTGCTTTTTTATTGATGAAGTTACACTGGGACTCAAAAAAAAAAAAGTCATGATCACTCTTCATGGCTTTTAAAGGAGCTAACTGTTCATGGAATTTCAAACGCTTAAATTATAAATAGCTTCCTAAATAAAAGATGAACCCCACTGGAGTGTGGAGCATTCCCACTGGACTTAAGAGATATAGTCTTTGAATTGCTGTCTTTTGTTTAGCCATAAACTAGGCAGCTGCTGCTAATACACTGAACAGAAGGATCGACACATGTCCGGGATGCCTGGCAAACCCTTTTCACCACTCCCCGAAGAATGTGTTTCTACATAAATGATTATAAATGACCGTTGGATTTCAAGACTGTTTACCAAGAGCCTAGTCAATTTGTATTGTAGATGAGACTTTAAAGGACAGTGGAAAAAAGTGAAGGAAGAGAATCAAGAAAAAATAGTGTTTCTCAAAGGTCAATGTTCTTAGCGGTGTTATAGCATTATACTTAGTTAGGAGCTGGATACAAGGAAAATTATAAGATGCAGTTAATTCAAAAATATATATACAGATGACAATAAACCTTAAGGGCCTCTTTACATGTGAAAAAAAAAATCATCAAATTGCTGTATTTAGCCTGAGGGTGGGAGGTATGTGTTTCCCTACGTGATTATAGTTGTTTTCTTGGTACTTTTTTCAGCACTCCTGGGGCACAGCAGCTAACATCCCACATAATGTTCCTGAAATAATGGTGCCTGTGATTACCATTAGTGGTACAGAAACCTGTGCCAGCTCCATGGGCAATTGTGGAGACTAATTCAGGTAGACGTTGATAATGCCCTACTTATGCTGGAATCCTGTCACTAAGAAATAATCCCTTTGTTTGAAACCTTTATCTCATGCACTGGTCAGCAATCTTTTAGTTTAGTGATAGACATTCAACTCGAATTATGTTAAAGGGCAAAGGGAATTTAATGGCTTAAAGTCCAAGAGCCGGTTGGTTTTAGGTAGACTGACTATAGGTATGTTTGTTCCCCTTTATCTGGGCCAATCCCAGTTTGTGCTTGCTGCCTTGACATACGTGTGATCAGCAACCCTTTTTACTTTCAGATGTCTGGTTTGAGACATAAAACAGGATTATGCTAACTTTAGGCCTAGTGAGAGCATAGGGCTCTGAGAATGTGTCAGGATTCCTTTCTCCTCTGTTTCCTGGTTCCGTGTACTTCTATGTTTGATGTCATTTTGATATTGGTGGCTGGAAACTGGCAGTTGGCATCCCCCACTTCTACAGTCTTCTGATATAAAAGGAAAAGAGACCTTTTTTCTCTCAGAATCCACAAGCCAAATATCACAGAAGGTCTCTAATGCTAGTTATTGTTCTACCAGGAAAACAGAAAGCATAGTATATATTCAAAATAGAGGGAATTCAAGGCAGACACATTGGTACAATGGTGTTTAAAAAGCTCAGAGACAAAACAGGGCCTTCTGCAGAAACCCAGATTAGCAAGAAGGAAAAAGTTGATACTTCTTTAGGTCAGAGAGACAAAACTAGAACAGACCAGTGGTGGGAGCTGGAGCCAAGGAGATCCACCTGCCCTAGTCAGAGAGAGAGAAGGACAGAATACAGAAGCAGCCTGGCTTCTCCTTCCTCCTGTCCTGCAACCTCCATCAATGTCTCCCATGGGCTGCAGCCAGAGGCCAGCAGAGCCAAGAGCAGGTGAGGCTCAGAGGCCCTGTGATACACAGCAGAAGAAAGGCCTGTGGGTAAACAGCCCAGAGCTGGCACGTCACGCTTGGGTTGTGTGCTCACAGGCATTGTTTGGAGAACATGGTCCAGCATGATTGCACACCACTGTGAAGAGGAGGGATGGGGGGGGGTGACTTGGTTGACAGGACATCATGGAATGGAGAATGGGCAATTCTATCAAGGAAGGGATGCTGGCAGAAATGTTAAGGAGGTTCTGCTACATCTGACAAAATACAACCCCATACCAGCCCTGATCCCCTTGGAAAGGAATCAGTTTAAGGCTCACCCGTCATTTCCCTTGTCTGAGCAGGGTTTGAATGGGGTTAGGAAGGGGAGCAAGACATTATTTGGTGCCTTGGAAGTCAAGGAGCAAGAGGGAATGGAGGAGCAGAAGAGTGACTTACTTAACAAAAAGAAAATGACCAGAAGGGAACTCAGGGTTCTACAGAACTGACTGTCATAAGACTTTCCATGTTTTCTGATTTATGTTGTGTGAGAATAGTGCCCCATAGCCTTTTTGGCTATGGCAGCACATGTAGTTTCTTTGGAGCAAACATCCTGACCGTTGGTGTTCCTTTCCTAGGGCTTAACAAGGGTTCAGATTTCACTGTTCAGTTGTGAGAATCTGTATTTATTTTTTTCTCTTAAAGCTTATCTACCTCTCTTTTTTTCTGTCACTAACAAAGGGAGATCATTCTGAAGTTAAGTGCTATCAGCTTGTTATACCTCTCTCAGAGGAGTTTGGCATTCTTTGCAAATATTTGAGAAATCTAGGCCAAAAGGGCCAACTTGATTATACTAATTTATTAACCACAGAGCTCTCAGATTCTGTGGAAACCTCAGATGAGCCCTATATCTGAGCTACCAGGATTAAGTTCCATAGGGATGGGCAGAAGGTTTGCTTCCTGAGGTCTCCCTGTACAGGCTGGGCATGCACACTTACACATGCCCATGATTCTTGCTGGCTGGGGCTGGGCTGAGGCTGGATCACTGCATGAAGACTCTTTTGAGAGTGCCTCTGTTTCCATGTCTGTCTTTCTCATGAAAATAGATGAATAAATAAAATTTAAAAATATTTAGAAAGACCTGAATAGACATTTTTTCAAAGACATATAAATGGCTAATAGATACATAAAATAAGCTTAACATCACTAATCATCAGAGAAAAGCAAATCAAAACCACAGTGAGATATCAGTTCACACTGTTAGAATGAATATTTTCAAAAAGATAAAAGGTTACAAGTATTGGTGAGGATACAGAAAACAGAAAACCCTTGTGTGAACATGTAAATTGGTACAGCCATTATGGGAAACAGTATAGACATTTTTCAAAAAATTAAAATAGAAGTACCATATGACTTAGCAAATCCTCTGCTAGGTATATACAAAAAGAAGATGAAATCAGAATCTCATAGAAATGCCAGTACTCCTGTATTTGTTGTTACATTATTTGTGATTGCCAAGATATGGAAACAACCTAAGTGTCCACTGGCAGAAAAATAGATAAAGAAATTGTGATATATTTGTGTGTGTGTGTAATATTACTATTATTATTACTATTAGAATCTTACTCAGCCCTTTAAAAAAGAGGTACTGGCATTTGCAACAACATGAATGAACCTGGAGGACATTATGGTAAGTGAAATAAACCAGACACAGAAATAAATATACTATACAAGCTCACTTATATGAAGACTCTACAAAAGAGTCAAATTCATAGAAATGGAGAGTAGACTGGTATTACCAGGCAGAAGCTGGGAGGTGAAAGAAAAGGGAGATATTAATCAAAGAGTACAAACTTTCAGTTGTAAGATGAATAAGTTCTGGAGATTTAATGTATAGCATGGTGACTATAGTTTATGATCATGTATACTTAAAATTTACTGAGAGTAGATTGCAAATGTTCTCACCACACACAAAGAAATGGTAACTATGTAAGATGATGGATATGTTAGCTTGATTGTAGTAATCATCTCACAATGTACATCTATATCAGATATCACATTGTATATTTTAAATATACAATCATATTTGTCGATCATACTTCAATAAAGCTGAGAAAAGTCATGTATTTTTTATAAAAGCAAAATTCAAAATCCCCTAACCTTATATCAATATTATCTGTTCTTTCATTCTCCCTACTTATTACCTGAATACATAAGAATTTTATATAAATGAGGGGCTGGCAGGTGGCATAGTGGTTAAATAAAATAAAATAATTAAATAAAATAATTTAAATAAAATAATTCTCTTAAAAATGAATTTTATATAACTATAATTACAGTAATGAAAATTCACTCTGATTTTCCTTTCCATTGTCCAGCTATGAAGTCCTCATGATAACAATATTTGCAAAATATGATACAACTTATTGAGTTCTTTTCCTATTGTATATTTAGATCATTTCTATATTTAACATTGTATTGACACTGTGGTGGGTAAACTGGTACAAAATTTTTTCCTTTCTTTTTAATTATTTCCTTAGGATAATTTTCAGGAGTCAGATAACTGTGTTTAAGGATATGAACATTTGTTTAGTTTTCTGGAATGTACTAGTATATTGTTTAGAAAACATCATAATTATATATAAAGTCACCAACACTAGGAGTACCATAAAAATTCTATATATTCTTTTTTTTTTTGGAGAAGTTTTTGCTCTAGGGCGTGTGTCCTCACCAGAAAGATAGAGACAGAGAGACAGAAAGCGAGAAATCACCCCCCAGGGGGAATGGCCATGCCACAATCCCTTCTTCTCCATTTTCCTTGTGGGATCTTGGGATGCACGCACATGTGCCTGGCGTGAGTTTAAGCCACTGGGTCTGGGACTTGAACCTCAGTTGACTACATGAGAGTCCAATGACATAACCATTATGCCAGCTTCTGGTCCCAAAATTCTATATATTCTTATTTTGGTATTTTTGTTATTTATATTATTTGCCCATTCATCAATTGAGCTATTATTTTTTTCTTATAAATTTATGTAGGTTTCTTACCTGTTATTGTTCTTAACTATTACATTCAGTGAAAATATTCCTTCTAATATGTGTTTTTCTTTCTTTTTAGTGTAACAAAGTGCTCACTCTGGGTTGAGTTTGAGATGTTTA